GAGCCCCGCTGTCCGGCAATCTGCGCATGCGCAGATCACTCAAACCCGGCTCTTCCGGGTTGCAATCTACTCGCCACGGGTGAGTATATTGTATTATTTGTCAAGCCCTGCTTATGCGTGCTAGTGGTGCAAATGGTGGTGAGGTATACTCTTTCAGAGCCTTTTTCTTTGTCACTTAGGCTATGTCTACACTCCCAGGTTATTTCGAAATAAGCTTATTCCTCTTCAGAAGCAGGAGTAGTAGTTATTTTGAAATAACAGGCTTGGTAGTGTGGACATTTACCTTATTTCAAAATAACTCCCCTGTGTAGACATGCCCTCAGATACGAACCACTGGTTCCAGTAGTATGTAGTTGAATTGTTCCATATTATAGAGTATAATTCCATGTTTTTCCTCTTAAAGAAAAGAAGAAAAACTGAAAATTCCTTTTAAAAAAAAAAATAAAAAGGTTGCATAATCTTAGCAGCTGAGAAATGTCAAAGTGAAGGCGCAGGAGCAACCTTTGTCCATATGTTTTATTATATTGTCCATATGTTTTAATGCTATTTCTCATATGCAGTCAGTCATTTTTTATATCTTACCTATTCATGTAGCACTTTCTATATCTCTTTTCTTACCCTATGGTAACACAAATAGTGTAATATTTTCAAAAGCATCAAATTCCTGTTTTCAACAGTGGTTTAGGCACCATTGACTTTCAGTGAGGCTTAAGCTCTAAAGAGCTTAACTCACCTTTAATAACTAAACATGTCCTCCCAAGTCATTTAGGCACTGTTGAAAAATGTATCCCGTCTGCTCTATCATTGAATACTTACATATTTAATTGTCATCTCTTTTAGGCATACTTTATTAATGTAGCAGCTCAGACTTCCTTGGGTATAATTCAGTGGTAAGGTAGCTAACTCTGAAACCAATTTAACTTCAGATTTAGGTGACTTATTTCATATATACCAGCAAATTTAATTTGTTCACTATTATTTATCTGTAGTATGTTTAAAAAAGGTTAACCATATATTGTTGTAATAGTCTGTATTAATCTATCTAGCGCTGAAAGTAAGCTCCATAGAGAATAAGTAAGGCATAACCCCTTACCTAAGAACATAATTTTAAACATAAGGGTGGTGAATGTGGGTTACAAGAATATAATGTGCTGGCTTAGGTTCATTATCATGTTTTGATATTATTGCTGGCTTTAAAAAGAAAGGCTGAAGCACTTGTTCCAGTGGGAGAAGGGATAAATAGGAGGGGATAGAAATAATAGACTCTGTTCCCTGGCAAACAAAGTATAGTATGATGCTGTACGTGTGTACATTCTAAGTTGTTGGAAAATCAACTTTAACCACAATAGAAGCAAATTTAACCACAATAGAAGAATAAAAAAATCCAGTGATGGCAAAGCCAACAACATGGTTTCTGCTTTTTTGTAGTAGTGTTGTGACAGTCTTTTACAGCTCATGAGTCTCTGCAGCTACTAAGTTCAGGCACAGAAAAAGCATATCTGCTTACAGTACTTTCAACTCTGCTATGCAGAGTGAGAAGTAGAGTCAGTAGTGTGGGAACCTTTAGGTTCTCTTCCTTCCTTCCTTCCTTCCTTCTCTACACCTTGAAAAATGGAGATGCAAAGGGGAGTGTTAGTCAGAGTAGCATAATGTTTCTGAGCTAGGATGGAGCAAATCCACTGAGCTTTAAAACAAAGGCAACAAATTTGAATAGCTGAGGAAGTTGCTGGCATTTGTGTATGTGGATATTGGAGAATCTGTTGAGATGAGTGAAGCAATAGTTGAATGAGGCACTGAAGATGATAATGAGGACTTTGGCATAGCAGTTGAAATGATACTATATATAGGTAAGTTTATGGAGTGATAATGGGGAGTAGCAGAAAAAAAATCTGGGATTAAGGAGGACTATAAGATTATAGCATCAGAGGCTGAAAGAAGGTCTGAGTCAAGGGAACTGAAAACTTAATTCCAATTTGGGAATGTTCCTTTTGCCCAAAATAAGACTGAGATGCAGTCACTTGTTTTACTTAGTCACACTGTAGCTTTGACATCTTTGTGTGAATATAAATGGTACAAACACTCTGTGTAAATATCTCTTGTCCACAGTGGCTCCTTTGGTAAAAGACAAGATGACTTGATTAGTTCTCATGTTCCAAGTACTACGTCAGCACCAACAATTACCTCTTCAGCTGGTATTCAGAAAAACTTGCTTTCCAGCACAAACACCACTACAAAGATTACAACGGGTTCTACTTCAGCAGGTGTACAAAGCAGGTAAGGATATCAACACACTGTGTGTCATATCTACTATGTGCTTATGTATGTGCATGCTTTTTTTGTTCAGTAGGTCATAGGGCTCTGGATTTTTTTCATTTTCCTGTTAAATTTGTTTAAGTACATACAATTTGGCTTAAAATAATTGTGGATGGCTTTCGCTATAAAGTGGCAGCTATGCATGTCTATAAAAGAATAAATTGAATGCTAGAAGGGTAAAGAATATTAAAAGTTTAAACAGTTAACTGTTTAATTTTGAATTTATCTAATGGCTCCAGGTGAGCTTCATCTTTCATAGCAAAGACATTTTTCCATTTGTTCTTTTAAAAAAATCCATCCCTCAACTTACGTGTTTTCAGCTGTTTAGTAAGTGCTTTCATTGTTTAGCTGTTTCCTTTTCTCTTTTTTTTGTGTTGCTGCTTGTGATGCTATAGTACCTCAAATCGTTTGTGGGCTGATGATAGTACTGAGAGAGAAAAAGACAGTGTTCCTACAGCAGTGACCGTTCCTGTTGCACCATCTGTTGTAAATGCTACAGCTACTACCACAACCATGACTACAACTACTTCTGGCACTGTGTCCTCAACGTCAGAGGTCAGGGAGAGACGGAGGTGTGTACAAGTCCTGCAAGCAATGGCACTGTTGCACAATATAGTCATTTTCTTATTTAGAAAAAAGTGCAGTAGTTAATCATTGATCATCTAGTACAGTGAATGAAGCAATACGCATCCATTTACTAACTGTACTGAGACTATCAACATGCTACAAATTTCATTAACCCTCCAGAACATGTTTTGAGAAACTTCCGAAGAATCTCACAAAATATCCTACAACTAATGAGAATATTGAGTTAGGTTTTCATGTTACTTCTATTTTGTTTCGGCCTTAATTAATAATCTTGCTTTTTGGTATAGGTTACTTGCAGGTTTACATTTTTGTGTATGTCAGATTGCATAGAGATACAGAATTTTGACCCAAACATTCTTTGGGATGTCTATACCATCTGCAGAATTGTCTCAGCTCAGATCAATAAACTTAGGCTTGCATGCAGCACTAAAAATAGCTGTTAGACGGAGCTTTGAAGTTGTAGCGTGGGCTCTGAAGTCCATACCTCGCTTTAGGTTTTGGAGTCCAGTGTATAGCCCAAGCTTCATTGTCTACTTGTATTTGTAGCATGGTAACATGAGCTTGCTAGCCCACATCAGCCTGTCTGCCCAGGTTGAGAGTGTAGAATGCAGTTGTGCTGCTGTATCATGTCTGGTGAAGATGCTGTCTGCTGCTGGGAGAGATTTTTCCTGTCAGCATATTAAAACCACCTCCTCAAGAAAGAGTAGCTCTTCCACCAACATAGCGCTGTCCACAGTGTAGATAGCTGTGAGAGTTTGGATTGGTGTAATTTAAGTTGCTCAGGGAATGGCTTATTCACACCTTTGAGTAACATAAGTAATACTCACATAGCCTGTAGTGTAGACAATACCTCAGTGTTTATTTAGTAATTATTATTTAGTAATCATGTGTTACTTTTGCTTTGAAAAATAAAAGGCATTTATTTTAATATGTAATCATGTGTTACTTTTGCTTTGAAAAATAAAAGGCTCAGGGAAAATTAAAAAATCAAGCTGTATAGTTGCTAATGTAGTGGTTATCATTCACAGCAGGTGGGGTAACTATGCTAGAAGATACATGCAAGGCAAACATGCTAATTCTGTGATCTAAACTTAGAGCAATTTTTAATACAGGTGGGGTTACTATGCTAGAAGATACTACAAGGCAGACATGCTAATTTTGTGATCTAAACTTAGAGCAATTTTTAATGTGTCTTTCCCACTCTGACATTGGAGGCATCTGGGGGAATAATGTGGCTCATAAGCCGTTTTGGTAGTAACCACTACTTTGCATGTAGTGGTTACTACCAAAGTAGCATGGTTGCTGCAGGCCAGGTGTCACACGAAATTCATATAAGCAAATGTAAGCAATGTAAAGGGTGTCATATAAGCAAATGTAAGCAATGTAAAATGTGTCTTTCCCACTCTGACATTGGAGGCATCTGGGGGAATAATGTGGCTCATAAGCCATTTTGGTAGTAACCACTACTTTGCATGTAGTGGTTACTACCAAAGTAGCATGGTTGCTGCAGGCCGGGTGTCATATAAGCAAATGTAAGCAATGTAAAATATGTCAGTATTGCTCAAAGAAAAAATTCTATTCTCAGTAGCTTAAATTTACTGTTCCCGTAACCACTAAAAGACTGTTACAAACTGACAAAAGCAAGGAAATTCATAGTTAAGGCTGTCACTCGGTCATTCACTCTCACTAGCGTGTCTAGGTATTGCATGTGTGTTACGTAAGATCACAATATCCACTGTTAGATTTTTTGCAAATGGACTGAATTTCCTTGATTTTGAGTATATACTGGCAAAAAGGTTTGGTGCAAAATAAAACTGTTTTAAATGAAAAGTATTGATTGTATGTATAGTGCATAGTTTGTTGAATATTTTAAAAAAGCACACATTTTATATTAGTAGTTCATTAAAGAGACTTGATTCATATTGATAGTCAAAATGTCTGCAAAATCTTACTTGAAAAGTAATCCCACTCGGAGCTAGTCTAGTGCCTAAACAATGCATTTTGAGGCAAGTTGAAGAAGTGAGTGTTCATCTGTAAAAGATTGAGAAGGAAATAGAGGAGAGTGAAACAAAAATATGGCCCAACCAAGAAATCTTAATGCAATTTTCATCTGTAACACCTTTTTGCACACAAAATTATAAGCCTCTAAAAAAGATTCTAGTGGTATGGGAGGTTTTTTTGTTTTAGGTATATTAGCACTGATAAATACCAGTATAGTAATCATAGACTTTAGGGCTTAGTCTAGACTATAGGTATATCTACAGGTAAAATTACATAGGTATAATTATACTAATGTAGCTCCCTGTCTGAATACTCCTGGCCAGTTGTAAAAGTGGTTTTTTTTCTGGTTTAGCTTAAACCACTTTCAAAGTGACATAAATAAAGGTGCAAAATGATTATTTTGGTTTTGTGATGTGCGAAACATTCAAGTCCAGTCCTGTAGAGTGTGTGTGTATGAAGTGCCTTAAAAGAAGAACTTTGTAAATTAAAAAAAAAAAGCAGTTATGAGCCAGATCAGCTAGGGGAAAATTTAAACAAAACAGTCAATGATAACTGACAATTGTTTGAAAACATTATACTAGATGACCAAAAATTCACAGTTGTGAAACAAGGCTGTGCTTGTTTAAAAACAAAAACAGACACATTACACTAGCCTCTTGTGGAAATGAAAGAAAATGGAACTAAAGAAAAGCTCAGAGCAATTAATATATACTAGAAGCTAGGAACATTTAAAAATAAATAAGGAGTGCAAAAAAAGACATAATTCTGCTAGCCATAGATTTCTCTTCAAGAGTTATTTAATTATATTAGGAACAAAAAGAATCCATAAATCAGGAATGCAAAAAAGGACATAATTCTGCTAGCCATATATTTCTCTTCAAGAGTTACTTAATTATATTAGGAACAAAAAGAATCCTTACAATAATACTTTACTAGATGGAAATGATAGAACTATCAGTAATACCATAAAAAAATCAGAAATGTATAGCAGATTTTTCTATTTTTTATTTAGGGAAAAGCCAGAAGAGGTATTCTGTCATGATGAGGAAATACTTTCCATTCCAACAATAACTCAGAAGGATGTTAAACAGGAGCTAGCAAAGTTAGATATTTTTAAATCAGCAGGGGGATGATTTGCTTCCAAGTGTTCTAAATGAGTTGTCCACAAAGTGCTCTGGACTGTTAATGTTGACTTTGAGAACTCTTGGAACACTGGGGAAGTTGCAGAGGACCAGAAGAAAGCTAATGTTGTACCAATATTATAATAGTAAACAGGGTAATCCAAGTAATTATAGGCCTGCCAATCTGACATCACTTTGGACAAAATAATGAGTAGCTGATACAGAATTTGTTTAGAGGAGGTTAATGTAATTAATGCCAGTCGGCATGGGTTTATGGACATACTTCTTGTCAAATTTCATACTGCTTTTTTGTGACATATTTCTTGTCAAATTTCATACTGCTTTTTTTGTGAGATTACAAGTTTGGTTGATTAAAAATGAGGGTTAATGTAGTATACTTAAGACTTCTCTAAGGGCATTTTACTTGGAACTGCGTGATAGTTTGATTTAAGACATTAGAAAGATGCAAAATCATCATGGCACATATTAAATTAATTAAAAATAGGCTAACTGTTAATAGGTTTCAAAGTAGAACTGTAAATAGTGTGTTTCTAGAGGGATTCCAAAGGGATTAGTTCATAGCCCAATGATATTTGACATTTTCATCAATAAAGAAAATTTAACATAATTGATGGAAGTTTGCAGATAACACAAAGATTGGGGAAACGGAAAATAATGAAGATGATGGGTAACTGATACAGAAATATTTGGATTGCTTGATAAGCTGGGCATGGGCAAGAGTTACCCGTAGATGTACAATAGTAATAGAGATGTAGCCATGTTAGTCTGGTCTTGCTGAAACAAGACAGGACTATGCAGCACTTTAAAGACTAACAAGATGTTTATTAGGTGATGAGCTTTTGCGGGCCAGACCCATTTCCTCAGATCAAATTGTGGAAGAAAATTGGCATGACCATATATATCAAAGGGATACAATCAAAAAAAGTGAACACTTATAAAATAGACAAAACAGATTTTAGAACAGAGGGGGCATGAGGAGGAGAGGTTAATGTCTATGAGAGAATGATATTAGTGGTGATAATTGGGGAAGCTTTCTTTGTAATGGGTAAGATATTTAGCACCTTTGTTAAGGTCCATTCATAAAGTGTCAAATTTAAGCATGAATGACAGTTCAGAGGCTTCTCTTTGAAGTCTTGTGTTTTCAGGTATCTAAAAGGGTGTCATAAGGAGGAAGGAGAAAAATTGTTCTCCTTGACAGGACAAGAAGCAATGGGTTTAAATTGCAGCAAGGGAGGTTTAGGCTGAACATTAGGAAAAACTTCTTAACTGTCAGGGTGGTTAAACACTGGAATAAATTGCCTAGGGTGGTTGTGGGATCTCCATCTCTGGAGATATTTAAGAGCAGGTTAGAGGAACATCTATCAGGATTGATCTAGATGGTGCTTGGTCCTGTCGTGAAGGTAGGGGACTGAACTTGATGATCTCTCGAGGTCCTTTCCAGTTCTAAAGATTCTCTGATCCTATGATGTAGTTTAGAAGCACTACATCATGGGATCAGATGTTGTTAGCTCATTGGTCTAAGCCAAGGGAAGCCCAGAATAGAGTATAGCCTGCTAACACAGTTTTAAAAGTTATTAAATCATATGTACGCTGGTAGGGGAGAAATGTTTTTAAAATATTAACTAGTAATGTTAAAATCCTAGTGTAAATAGGGCAGTTTGGAGTGCTAACTCATGCTAAAACACAATGTAAATGCTACAGGTTGAACCTCCCAAATCTGGGACTCTCTTGTCCGGCAACATCCTTGGTCCATCGGTGTCACGGCTGTTACTTGACCAAAGAGCACTGGAGGCGGCAGTAGGAGACAATGTGGGAGCTAGGGAGCTTAGACTGGACCAGCAGTGGCTGGGAAACCCCTGACCTGGCTGGAGAACTCCTGATGTCAATGGGACCAGGCATGGCTGGGGAGCCTCCGCCCCAGCAGGGGAATCCTTGGCATCAGTGGGGTTAGACTGGACCAGCAGTGGCTGGGAAACCCCTGACCTGGCTGGAGAACTCCTGATGTCAATGGGACCAGGCATGGCTGGGGAGCCTCCGCCCCAGCAGGGGAATCCTCGGCATCAGTTGGGCATCAGTTCTCCAGGCCCCAGCTGAAGAACCCCGATCTGCAGAGGGACTGCTGGTGGTGGGAGGCCCAGCAAAGGAACCTCTGGCAGCAGCAGGACCACAGGCGGCTCCTGCCAGAACCCCGGGAAACCCCCCAGTGGTAGTGCGGCCAGAGTAACTGGGCAGCATTGGCTGAGAATGTCCTGATTGGAGCAGGGCTGGCGGAGGTGGGCGGCCCTGCCAGTAAATCCCTGGCCACAGTGGGGCCAGCTATAGCAAAGCAGCAGGGTAGCAGAGAAGCCTCTTCCAGGACACACCCTGCGATAGTGGGGCCGCAGCAGCTAGGCAGTCAAGGCTGAGAGCCCCAAGGGAGGCTGAGGCAACCAGTGGGCAGCGGCGTAAGGAGCTCCTGCTCGGGCCAGCATTAGAGGGGGCAGGGCAGGGAGCCCCAGGGAGAGGAGCTTGGAAGCGGGTAGCCAACACAGGATCACTGACCTTCCTGGTCTAGAAAATTCCCTGGTTTGGGACAGCTCAGGCCTCAAGGATGCTGGACCATGGAGGTCTAACCTGTGGTTTTCTTGCTATAGTTGACTCCTACCAGTGAACATATTAAAATAGAAACTACCTATGTTTGTCTATATAATGGCAAATTTTGTCTTTTCATTTTTAATCTGTCTGGTAGAGGTAGAATATGATGATCCAGTATTAGTTTGTGCAATTATTTGTTGTTTTTTTTTAAAGATAGAATATCCCCTGAAAACATTATTGAATAATTTTAGTATTTTCAAATTGACTTCAAGAGCTGTTTTGAATTATGTTTGTCGAGTGGTCTCCCAAATATAAAGGAATATTTCTATCATTAAAAAATATGTTGTTTAAAAAAAAGCTAATAAAACATAACCTACCATGTTGTCGACAACATCAGAGAATATGATAGTATCTAAGCCACTACTGTAAAAAATTGGTAAACCAGTCAGTTTTGAGACCCAAAATTGTTCAGAACTGCAGTTTGTTGTCCTCAGACTTGGAGTGCAGGTTATATAATTTTTGAATAGAACTTTGTTTCAGGATCTTATGTTTGACTTCTCTTCTGCTTTTTTCCCCAAATTAAAATATGCTTGAAACTTTTAAATAACTATCAGAATTATACATTGAAGACTTGATTTATTATCCTGTATTAGAAAAGCAACAGTTCCATTAAGATCCTTAATGGGATCATTTTAGTTTTATAGATAAGGGGCAAAATCCTGTGTCCAAAGCTGAGGTGGCCTCACTTGTAGTTGAAATGATACTGTTCTGTTGCATAAAACAGATAGGAAGATGCTTCTAGTAGAGGGGAATGCAGGGAGCATGAACCCTGGGCCCAGCTAATCCATGTGTCAGAACATAGTTCAGCACAAGGATCCATACAGTGCAGGGAGGAAATTACTTCAGATTTTGGCACTTCTGTGCTGTGATTGTGGAAGCTTTAGCCAGTCCCTCTCACAAGCTAGAGCAGCTTTGAGAGCTGAATTAATTTGTGCTGAGCTGCCCGCACTAATTTGCACTAAACAGCCAACCGACTTTGGGCTATTCAAGCAGCTGGAATGGCAGGATTGAGAGAGCACTGAAACAAGCCACCCATACAAAGGACTTCTGTTGAAAGGGGCCAAGCGTTGGCATAATGTACACCTGCAGAGAGATCTCCCTGTACATTGGACATAATCTTTTGGGACCCTCTTGATAGCCTGAGAACTCTTACACAATCAGAGCTAGTGAAAAGGAGGAAGAAGCATCCATATATTGGGTCCTACCTATCTGCAGAGTTCCCTGTATGGTAATGCACAGTGGGCTGTACATGTACTGGCTAAGGGAAAAGAAGGGGTGGGTTACGAGAATCTGCTTCTGTACAAACTGTCCTGTCCTCTTTTGTAGGGTATGAAATCCACGTAAGAGCCATGTCACACAGATGCATGGAATGCTGGGCTCAAGATTGTTCTTCATATCTTAAAGTTGAAGCCTCAAATGCAGAATTCATATAATAATTTACGATAGAGCTCTCAGATTTATGTGTAAACAGAATTGCTCATGAAAATAATTCAGAAAACATTATTCTCTTTCCCCCAGAGTTAGAGAGTAGTGCTAGTTTTAGATCTGGTCTTGTAAAACTACTTGGGAATTTCAATTGTCATGGACTTTTTTTGGGGGGGGGGCGGTTGATGAGGCCAAGTGTTCTGTGTTAGTTTTGCTTGTCAATATGGCTAAAAATCTATAACTGAGAAGTCCACTATTCTAGATGTTAGTATGATTTTGCTTTTATAAAATGACTGCAAACCTGTAATACTGAAATTGACAATATTTCACAAACCTAGGTATATTCAGAGTAGACTGAATGATTGGGCAACAAAATGGCAAATGAAATTTCATGTGGATAAGTGTAAAGTAATGCACATTGGAAAAAATAACCCCAACTAAACATACAATATGATGGGGACTAATTTAGCTACAGCTAATAAGGAAAGAGATCTTGGAGTTATCGTGGATAGTTCTCTGAAAAAGTCCACGCAGTGTGCAGCGGCAATCAAAAAAAGCAAATGGGTGCTAGGAATTATTAAAAAAGGGATAAAAAAATAAGATGAAGAATACCTTACTACCTTTATATAAAACTATAGTATACCCACATCTTGAATACTGCATACAGATGTGGTGGTCTCTCCTCAAAAAATATATTTTTGCATTAGAAAAGGTTCAGAAAAGAGAAACTAAAATGATTAGGGGTTTGGAATGGGTCCTATATGAGGAGAAGTTAGAGACTGGGACTTTTCAGTTTAGAAAAGAGGAGACTGAGGGGGGGGGATATGATAGAGGTATATACTATCATGAGTGGTGTGGAGAGGGTGAATAAAGAAAAGTTATTTACTTGTTCCCATAATATAAGAACTAGAGGACACCAAATGAAATTAATGGGTAGCAGGTTTAAAACTTGCTTTGATCATTGTCTTCAGTTCACCGCCTCAGGGGCACCTGGCACTGGCCACTTTCGACACACAAGATACTGGGCTAGATGGACCTTTGGTCTAGCCCAGTATAGCCATTCGTATGTTCTTATGATTAAAGTTACGGGAATGGTAATTGTATATGAAATAGATTTGCTTAGTAACATGCCACCCAGCCAGTGTTAAGTATGGTTTGTTTGTGAAAGTTTCCACATGTGTTTACTGAGCAGTCACTTACTCTGTTTTTAGTACTTTGGGATAATAGATAGCATAGTAGAGCGCTTTTTTTTTTTTTTTGGTAATAGACATATTCTTTACATTAATAGGCATATAAAATGCATGTCAAAGCTTCATAGTCACTCATACATTTCCTACACGCTGTATCTCTGAAGTACTCTATGCTTGTTTTGGAAGACTCGTAGAGTACCAAATTAGTTTCAGAAAGTGTTGAGAGTAAATGACAGAATGAATTTATTTTAAGTAAGAAAATTGGTAAGGATATAGTCTAGATCAGTAGTGCATTCTGGTAATATAATTCTGTATAATACTTATTTACCAGTTAATCTTTAACATTTATTGAATGCAAATTCTATATTTCTTGCATTTCAGAGACAGATTTATGCATTTAATTACATTATATATATTTTAATTTTGGTTTTCTTACAATTGCATTGGTTTTCAATCATTTCACATTGCTAATGTTCATTTTTTAACCATTTAATGCATTGTGCAAAAATAGTGATTATTAAATATTTTACTTTTACTCTTTAGATCATACCTCACTCCTGTTCGGGATGAAGAGTCCGAGTCCCAAAGAAAAGCTAGATCCAGGCAAGCAAGACAGTCCAGAAGATCCACACAGGTACAGTTTTGATGTTGTTTTTTTGTGTTTGTTTTTTCATTTATGAATACACAAATAGGTGCCAAACTCCATAATAATGTTTTCACAGTAAAACTTCAAATACAATGACTATTCTCCCCAGGATAAACTCTGTATATATCAGCAGATAAAGTAACCCACACTATAAACAATAATTCCTGTCTAAATTTTAAACCTCTTTCTCCCAAAATATTTGGGAGAAAGTAGGAGCCTTGTCAAGCAGAGGTTTCCCCACAGAGAATGTGTCTAGCCTGCATGGTTTTTTTTTTTTTAAAAAAGTTGCCTTTTTTTCAAAAAAACTTCCCCTGTGTCTAGACTGCTGCTGCGTTCCTTTGAAAGTAAATCGAAAGAACGTGGCAGTTTTTTCGACCACAGAAAACCTTGTTTTATGAGGAAGAACGCCTTTTTTCAGAAGTACTCTTTTGAAAAAAGGCGCTATGTAATGCAAACTGTGCTTTTTTGAAAGAGAGTATTCAGACTGCCTGGGTGCTCTCTTTCAAAAAAAGAGGTTTGCTTTTTCGAAAGTATCTTTTGAAAAAGCCTCTTTAGAAAGAGGCTTGAAGTCTAGACATAGCCAGTGTCTTCCTGAAAACTCCTTCCTCTTACACAGCAAGGTGGTGTCAGCTATGGATCTCAACTGTGACAATATAATATGCCCAGGTAACTGGGTCCAAACCTACTTAAACCTTTAAAGCCAACACTTTAAATTTCACAAGGAAACTTACTGGTAGCCATTGTATTATCTAAAACACAGTGTGATATGCTCCAGGCTTGAAACACTATTCAAGAAGCAAGTCTGGCATATAATATTTGCTTCAGTTCCTGATTGTGTTATTGAGGTGACAGACCTGGGTACCTATGGTGTGATGCATATCCAAGAGAGAAGTTCAAACTTGTCTGTCTAGCTGTAGATGGGAAGAGGGGCAGTGCTCTTTGAATATGCAGGACCAACCCAAGATCTAAGAATGCGCTGCAGTTTTATGTACGTCTTTTGCAAAGAATAGTTTCAGCTCACCTAATTGCTAAAATCTCATAGTCCCTAGTATACCTGTTCCAATGCATTAGCCATACCAAATGTGAAAGAGATAGATATGAGGAGGCAAAGGAGCAATTGTCCACAATTGCATCTGAATCCACTCAATAAATAGCAATAGAAACACCAAAAAATGGCTCCATCCACCTATGTTAGTCTTCTGACAGATGGAAATAATTGAGCAAGGTTGCTCTAACTTAATCTGAGTGGAATAAATAAATAATTGCACTTTTTAATCTAAAACCGAACCTACAATCAGAATGACTAATGTCAAGAGAATCTGAAAATTGAAGAAACTATCACAATTACTCTACCACAAGTCTGTCCATACCCTTTCTTGAAAATTTCAGTGGTTACACACAGGAGGTGGTGCACACAGAGAGCCAGTTTTTAAGCCAGCTCTCTGTTCATACCATGAGCCTGCATTAAAAGTGACAGTTAACTGATGAGCCTGGGCTCACTGGTTAATTGTGTACTCAGTTACACTTCTACATCCCTAGCAGAGAGCACTAAGAGGTAATGTAAGTGTATTAGTGCTCCAGGCATGATTTTTTTTTCAGATGTACTGTGAACTCACAACTGCAGTTGTAGTCAGTGGAAAATCTGAAGGCTCAGTGCTTCTTAAATTCAAGTCCTGTGATATGATCATTAGTCAATATAAATACTGCTATATTTTTATAAACTTTCTAAAATATTAATAATGTTTATAATACAGTGGGATTTTCAAAAGTTACTATGTGATTTAGGAGTCTAATGTCCCATTGAAAATCATATTGCAGAATCAGCCTTTTTGGATCTGTAGTTTAGAAGGCACATGCTGTGAGTACAGAATGAAGAGTAAGTTTTATTAATTGCAAACTCCAGAGTTAAACATTTCACAACTATTTTAGAAGAACATAAGAACAGCCATACTGAGTCAGACGAAAGATCCATCTATCCCAGTATCCTATCTTCTGACAGTGGCCAATGCCGGATGCCCCCAGAGGGAGTGAACAGAACAGGGAATCTTCAAGCAATCCGTCTCCCATCACTCATTCTTAGCCTTTGACAGAGGCTAGGGACACCTTTCCAACCCATCCTGGCTAATCACCATTAATGGACCTAACCTCCATGAATGTATCCAGTTCTTTCTTGAACCCTGTTAAAGTCCTGGTCTTCACAATCTCCTCTGGTAAAGAGTTCAACAGGCTGACCATGTGATGTGTGAAGGAAATCTTCCCTTTACTTTAAACCTGCTATCTATTAATTTAATTTTGGTGATACGTAGTTCTTATGTGTTGGGAACAAGTAAATAACTTTTCTTTATTCACTTTTTCCATACCAGTCATGATTTTATAGATGTCTATCATATTCCCCCTTAGTCCTCTTTTCTAAGATGAAAAGTCCAAGTCTTTTTAATCTCTCTCTATATGGGACTTGTTCCAAACCCCTAATCATTTTTGTTGCTCTTGTCTGAACCTTTTCCAATGCCAATATTTCTTTTTTGAGATGAAGTCACCCCATCTGGACACAATATTCATGGTGTGCGCATACCAGGGTTTTATATAGAGGCAATAAGATGTTCTCTTATTCTCTATTCCTTTTTTAATTATTCTTAACATTGTTTGCTTTTTTTTGACTCCCACTGCACATTGAGTGGATGTTTTCAGAGAGCTATCCACAATGACTTGAAGATCTTTCTTGACTAGTTATAGCTAAATTAGTCCCCATCATATTATATGAATCGTTGAGATTTTTTCCAATGTGCATTACTTTACATTTATCAACATTAAATTTCATTTCCCGTTTTGTTGTCCAGTCACTTAGTTTGGTGAGATTTTTTTTTTCAAGTTCTCCACAGTTTGCTTTGGTCTTAACTATCTCGAGCAGTTTAGTATCATCTGCAAATTTTGCCACCTCACTGTTTACCCTTTTCTCCAGGTCATTTTTAAAAATAAGTTGAATAGGATTGATCCCAGTACGGATCCTTGGGGGACACCACTAGTTACCCCTCTCCATTCTGGAAACTTAGTATTTATTCCTACCCTTTGTTTCCTGGGTTTTTTTGGGTGGGAGGGAGTTTTGTAAACTGCTATCAGTCCGTGAGAGGACTTTCCCTCTTTTCCTATGACAAAATACTTTACTTAAGAGTCTTTGAAGGACCTTGTCAAAGGCTTTCTGGAAATCTAAGTACATTGTATCTACTGGATCCCTCTTGTCCACATGTTTGTTGACCCCCTCAAAGAACTCTAGTAGATTTGTAAGGCATGATTTCCCTTCACAGAAATCATGTATACTTTTCCCCCAACAAATTACGTTCATCTATGAGTCTGACAATTTTATTCTTTACTGTGGTTTCAGCTAATTTGCCCGGTACTGACGTTAGACTCTGTAATTGCCAGGATCACCTCTAGAGCCTTCTTTAAATATTGGTGTCACATTAGCTATCTCCCAGTTATTAGGTACAGAAGCTATTATGTGCAGAAGGAGTTTATAGAGCGTTCATCAGCAGTAGTAAAAACTGAGTAACCTCTATTGAAATTTTGCTTTTTGCTTGCTTTTTTTCTACAGGGGGTAACTTTGACTGATCTTCAAGAAGCTGAAAAAACTATAGGAAGAAGTCGTCCTACACGAACCAGAGAACAAGAAAGTGAAGAAAAAGAGAAGGAGGAGAAGGAAAAGCAAGACAAAGAAAAACAGGAAGAAAAGAAGGAATCAGAAACGAAAGATGATGACTACAGACAAAAATATTCCAGAACTCTTGAGGAGGTATCTTGGGCTCTTCCTTCTAAGTGGTATAATTGGCATAAATCTTAATTTTTGTTTGGTAGTACTAAAATTATAAGAGTCTTAAGTTTCTTATTTAAATGTCTATTAATATCCTGTATCATGGGTATTTTTATCTGTGTCCTTTAATTTTTGGAAATTGATATTTACTGTTCTTTTGCTGAACAGCCTTACCATCGCTATAGGCCAGTTTCAACTACAACTACAACTACTTCAACATCCTCTTCACTTTCCACCTCCACTAGTTCCCTTTCTACTTCAAGTCAGCTAAACAGACCAAACAGCCTTATAGGTATAACTTCTGCTTATCCAAGGAGTGGAACGAAAGAAAATGAGAGAGGTAGGATTGTATGTTTTGACCTTTTTATTTCCTTATGGTATGTCTACACTGCGGAGCTATTTTGGGATAGCAGAAGTATCCCAGAATATCTATTCTACGTCTATTGAAGCAACTCATTATTTTGAAGTTTATTTCCTGGAAGCTCTCATTCCACAAGAGTTAAGGGGCATTTTGGAATAATGAGTTGTTTTGAAATGTGGTGCTGTGTAGACAGCGCCAAATTACAAAATAAGCTATTTTGAAATAACATCATTTGAAGGGTGCTGTGCAGACATACACTTATTTATTAGAAGATCTTTTATCTCTCCAGAATGTCTTAAACTGCATGTGTTGTGAGGTAAGGGATTGCTTAAGGCCTCTTTGTGTGTCACTGCTTCCCTATGATCGTTAGCTTCTGAAGCAGTCACTAGCTACTGTCTTCAAATGGTGCTTCCCGATGCAGAATACTTTATTTCTCTCTGTTGTGAAGTGATCCTGAATTTGGGTTGAATTTTCATAATATGTTGCAATTCTAAAGGCTCATTCTTGCACTTTGTAAATGTTTGAATTAAGAGGATTCTCATATGCAGGTGTTATGTTCAGATTTTGTGAATAAGATTGGTGGGAAGAATAGGATACTGATCAATGTTCAAGGAAGCCAAAATCAAAGCTAAGGGATGCTTTTACCTTGAATATTTTTTTTCTTCTATTTCATCCTTCGTTCACCTTATAAGGGGTTTATTTTAAAACTGAACACTGGAGATACTGAAGTAAGTTAATGTAGGACTTAATATGATGTCTATGCCTGGATGTGTATGATTTGTTGTAGTAATAAAAGGGTAAAGGAATTGATAAAAATACATTAGAGGAAGTAAATGTTTTGTTTGTGCAACCCTGATTAATTATTATTGTTATGCAAGTTGCTGAAAGCATGTGTGAAGTGAAAAATCAGAACTTAAAAAGTGAGAGAATTTGTTAGCAAGGCCAATGGTTAACCGAAACTGAATTTCTATTAAGGAAGAAGGAAATGCTTAGAATAATCTCATTGAAATCCAGGGAACTTCAGTACATTCTCCTAAAAAGAAAGATTTCTTTTAGTGAAAGTTTAAATGAAAATAAGTCAATTGCATTGAATTCTTGATGCTATAACTAAAGAAATATTTATGTTAAGGAAGATGCAGCCAGGTCATATTTATGCTTGTTTTTCTCATGTAAGATGTCCCTATAATAAAACAGACAGAAGTTTTTAAAGCCTAAATCTTAGAACAAACCTTTAACTTCAGGCCCAGGGGCCGGATGCAGCCCCCAGCTTGCCTGGTTCAAGCTCCTGAGGCTCGGGGTTCCCCCCAGCATTGTGGAATTACACATTGGTGAGGGGTGGGTTTTTTTGTTTTTCTTTCTCACTTGTGTGTAGCCCTTGACTGATTTTTTTTTTCCTGTGGTTCAATGGCCCCAACCCAAAAAAGGTTCTCCACCCTGCTCTAGATCATTGTCAGAAGTATTATTATTGTATTGAAATATTTTCATTATGTGTCTGAGGGAGAATCATACAGAAAGCAGTTGGGAAGTACAAAATACTTACAAAACCACTTTAATGGTATTTATAACAATATTTTACAATTGTGTTCTGAGTAGATGTATTACCACATAATTTATAAAACTGAGTAGAGAATTTCTTGCTCCAGCATCTAAGATTAAAATTCAGTTATATATTACAGAAGATCACATTATTTGTGTTCTATTTTTAAAATGTTCTTAACAGAAGGCCGGAAAAAAGAAGAAGAAAAGGAAGAAGATAAATCACAGACAAAATCAATAAGAGAGAGGCGGCGACCAAGAGAAAAACGAAGATCTACAGGCGTTTCCTTTTGGACTCAAGATGTGAGGAAACTGCTAAAGCAACTAAAACATGCTTCACTTTTACAGCATTTAGAATTCATATTGAATGATCACATTCAAATGATAGGGAAGAGCATATCGTTATATGATTTAATTATTCTTTCTGGCTGGAAAACCCAGGAAACAAATAATTAAGAAATGGATTTTGTTATGCCTGGGTTAGGGGGTTCTTCCAAAAATAATACCAATCTTGCTTGTAAGGTTTTTCTGTATATAAAGTATATTGGCATAGTTGGGTAGTATGGATTATTGAGGTCTATATTGTCTGGGATTTCTTCCCAAGCCATTTAAACTATTAATACATAGAATTAGATGACCGATAGATGACATTCTTTATAGAATGAGGGGACCACTGTATAGGTGGTTATTCCTTTTGCATAAATGGCCACAGCAGTTGTTTAAACTGCTAGGCCTGTTGTGCTTGATCAGTTACTGTGTTTCTATATACATCTACTGGAGTTCATGTGTTAAGCATGCAAGTAAACATGGAAGCAGCAGTAACTTAGGTGCAGTTTTTAGCCACATCTGAACTGGGGGGGAATATAGATCATTCCTTTAGAAAACACCTTATTTTGAAGGATAAGAACATTTTACACAGTCTGCATATCAAATTATTATAATGAAAAAGAATTCCAAAACAAATAGATGTTCATAATACAATAGGGACAAATCAAAACAGCTTTTGTAGACCAAAATCATTCATCCTTTAATGTAGAATTCTCTGACCAAGTGGTAGATTGAAGAAAGCCAGTTGACATGACATATATTTGTACTTTCTGGAAGCCTTTGACAAAGATGTCTGTTGTTAGAGGCATTTAAGAAATCTGAAGTCATGATCTAAGAGGTGTAAAATATTGGTATGGGTTAGAAACTGGCTAAAACAAAGTGTTGGAATAAATGGTTAATATTCATCGAGTCAAAAGATAAATATAAAGTATCCTAAGAGTCTGGGTAGGCTTAATAGGTGAAAAACAAATAATTTCTATCCCTTACTCTTATTTGTACAGTGCCTAACACAGTGAGTTGAGACATCAAGTATTACTGTAATATAAATAATAACAATAGTAAGCCTTCTGCACTGTGTAAGAATAAGAAAGAAAAGCAATTGAGGGTAAAATTCACAAGATCCCGATAAACGCATTCTATCCTGGAGTTCCTATCATGATTTCAAAACAATCGCACAAGCTTTTTCAAAGGAGTGAGGGAACTGGCATATAAAACAAACGTCCTTCCCCTATCCAGCCTACAAAGATAGTCCAGAGAAAAGAGCTCTGACCTTAGTCACTGTCCCAGGGTTATTTGTGATGTTTGAAAAACTCTTCTGACCTAATGTATCTCAATTTTAGAATACTTGCACCACAAAAATAAAAAGTTCAGTCTTTTCTGCAGTTGAACAAGTGTCTAATGGGCAAGTATCAGTATTTTTATATTCAGCTGTTCGGGTGCCAGACAACATTGACACGAAGGAGGAGTTTCACAGTTGAGAAACATAAGTAGTGATGATCAATTTAAAACAAAATTCCCTCCCCCTTAATCCACATACTTTATTTGTGAGAAATAGATCCATTATTCTGTCCTCTGCAAATTATTATGTATTTATAATTGAAAGTAATTAAGAAAAAAGTGAATTCTGCTCAGATTAACAAGAAGGCCTACACTCCCAATGATGGGATTGGTTGCCTTTTCCTTTTGTTTCTAAAAATAAGGGTTTAAATGTCACTTGCAAAAGCAAGCATTTCCTTATGTCAACTGTATAATCCCACTTTCTTCATCAGTACTGTTATGCCACCATATTGCAGCTGGGGGAAATACTGCACTCTGACGAGAGCACTTTCCCACTGGCATAACTACTCCACCTCCGCCAGAGGCAGAACTTATGTCGGTGGGAGAGTGACCCCTGCTGACATAGCACCAGTGTGGACAGTCCTTAAATTGCTGTAACTTGTTGCTCAGAGGGGAAGCTTTTTCATGCCCTGAGCAATGCAGGTTACATAAGTAATGTAAACCCAGCCCTCTCTTGGATTTAGATGTTAGAAATATAAAATGTTAAAAAAAAAATCTCAATAGCATTTCCAATAGCGTTTACTATTTTTATTTCTATTTTCTCTAGAGTGATGAAAATGAACAGGAACATCAGTCTGATTCAGAAGAAGGAACAAATAAGAAAGAAACTCAGGTAATTGTTGGATATTGTTAATTCAGTTGTCATCTCTTGAGAGATTGTATTATGCTATTTTAAACTTTCTTTCATTGCAGTTAGGTTCAGTTAAAGGAACACATCTTATGAGGTATACATACCTCTTATGAGTACTTTCTGATTCATGACTTGTTGATGTGTTTCGGTACCAGTTCCTTTACAGTTTTTGTGTGAAAGATGTCTTTTAGCCTATACATGAACTATAGACTCCAATGACAGTTTTTAATATACTTTAATGGTTGCAGTTTGCTCAGTATTGCCTCCCACTTTCTTGCCTTCTACGTACAGGTAATTAGAATTTGTTTTAAGTGTTGATATAATTTCTAACTGATGCTTAGGTCAGTGTGACAGTAGTGTAGTTGAGGGAGTTCTTATTTCTGCCTCGTCACACCGTTAGCTTCATCTATTCTGTTTTTCTGGAGAAATAATATGCTGTGACTATTGTTGCACTAATTTTGAGTCTTCTATTTTTTCTTTAAGAATACATAAACGAGAGGTAACCAATAAATGTGGTGGTAATAGTACAGGGAAACTTTATTAAATTCTTCATGTGAGAAATGAATTTCTAGAAAACACCAGTACAAGATTAATAGTCTTCAAGAAAGTATAATCAGGGAAATTAAAACAATCTTGTTGCAATGGAAGAAAGCTTTGAAATCTAGAATGTGTGAGGGGGAAGGGAACTGTCACATCTTAAATTATGCCATTTTTTGGCACAAAAGAATACGTTACTGATTACCGAAACATAGGGTAACACGCTAGAGACTCAGGCTTATTTTAGAGTCCAAATTTTTAATATTTTCCTTCTTGTTGTGTTTGTATAAGTCTAAACTTAGTTTTGGTTAAATGATTCATTCTTCCCTCTTTTTTTTTTCTCCTCTCTTGTGTCTTTTCTATAAGCCTAATGGACTGTGTGTTCATATTTCCTTTCCATCAGTCTCAAGTGCAGATTCTTTGTTGCCCTCAGGTCTCTAATTATTCATTCTTGTTGCTACACTGAGCATTACTTATTCCTTCCATACTACTTTCTGAGGAATTGTATTCTGATATATAATTGTGGTAATTTCAAAAGAATTATATGAATGTAAAACTAAAGTAATATAGTAGTAAATCAACTTTATTTATAGTAGTAAATTCTTTATGTAAAAGTTTTAGTAAACCTTGTGTGTCGGCAACTAAACTTTTTCATTAATCTGTTGATAAGAACATAAAACATAAGAATGGCTGTACTGGGTCAGACCAAAGGTCCATCTAGCCCAAGAGATATGTTGGTTAGACTCCAAAAGGTGAGGGCAGAGTGGATGGCAGTAATTTGAGAGAGTTCATTAATTAATTTTCGAATGAACTACACACTCTACCACTGCTAAATGTTGTCCAGAACCTCATTTTTACCCAGGTCTAGACTAGTTGAACACCATGCTCATTGTCCATCAGAGAAAAAATGATGAGCTAAGTTCTTGCTTTTCCAAATGATGCTACCTCCAGTTGAATCACTTCAGCATTGTCCACAATACAGTAGCCACGTAGTGTAAGAAAATTGAGAAACAGACACCAGCATGAAGAGAATCCCAACAAGGGAAGAAAATAATAATTTGTAAGAAAGGAAAAGGAATATGTCATAATTGGGCTATAAACTATTATTCGTCAGATGCACGGTTAAGGTGCTGCCTCCAGAAAAGCAGATTCCAGCATCAGAGTTGTAAGAGAACTAGTTGTAAATTGAGTCTCCTTCCTGAATGGAGGGGAAATGTTCCGATCGTGCCGATCATGTAACCTCAATTTTTGAGGAATAAGGGATTTTGCGAAAGAGGGGTTTTTTTTCCAACAAATGGCCCCATCTGCATGGGGCTTTTTATCAGCAAAACCTCTTCTGCAAAAAGAATCGGAAGAAGATATGCAAATGCGAGCGTGATTTGCATGTCCTCTTCTGCAAAAAAGTGGCAGTGTAGCCATAGCCTGAGAAATGTTCCCTCCTCCTGAAATGTTTTGAGTGGGTGGGGTTTTAACTGGATTAGAAAAAATGGTGTGGTATCTCCAGAAGGTAGTGAGAGAGTGTGTATTCCTGAAGATGCCAAAGTTGAACCCCTGCTTTTCCTTTAGGTTCTTGCATCCTGCTTGTAAGCTTAGGAGAAGTACGAACTAATTTTTCTTCCCGCGGCTCTCCAAATAACTGAAACTTTTTTCCTTAGGCTTCAGGAGCTCCTTGCCTCCTTCAGCTACACCACTCCCTCTTTGTAGTTTTAGACAGGGGACTGTTTCCAGAATGCAGTGTTTCTTGCTGAAGATACAGGATTAGGAAGGATTTTTTCTTAGGCCATTTTGACACAGGGTTGAGGGAGCGAGGGTTCCCTCGCAGAATTATGGAGATGCAGCTGGGTTAACAAATAGAATCTGGCATGCTAATATTAAAATATATTAGATTATAAGAGATAAATGTGTAGTTATTGCATCTGTGGCCAGCGAAGATAAAAGTTAAAAGGTACAGCTCCTAGATCTTCTGCTTATGAGGAGAAATGAAGGCCAGAATTCTTGCAGACCAAAGCCTTGCCCACCCTCCCGGTACCCTTTATAGCTCCATTGCTGGGGTGTGGGATCAGAGGATTCCAAGAAAGCTGAGTCCTGGGAGCAGGCTGCAGGGTCTACCCTGAGATATTGGTTATGTAGGGAGCCCTGTAACTCCATAGGACCTAGTTAAATGCCTGGTATTTTAGATGGATCATCATGTTTTACCTCCATCCAGTGTTCAAGTTGCAGCTTCTTGCTTAAAAACAATTCCAGTGTCTTTCTCATGAAGCACAATTTAAAATCTCTCAGGAAAAAAAGGAGTCTTAAAAATAGCCTAATTTCACTCCCATTGAAACTAACAGGAGCATTACTGTTGAATTTAGTAGGAGTAGAGTTACTAGCACTGTTTAATAGTACGCCTGTAATGAAGGAACTTAGAAGACGAAAAAGGAGATATTTGGATTTTTTTAGTTTTGTTCCCTGTAGGACAAAAAACCAAACCAGCTCTTTCAGAAATTCGTCCATATACTGTAGACATGTGAAAAACCAAAATCAATTCTTAAGTGCACCTAGCAGATGAACACTGCTGAGAACGTGCAGGTGATATTATAGGCACTAGAAAGAGCCGGCATTTATAAAACTATGCAATTATCATTCAAAGGGAAAATAATGGTGAACTACAAGTTTTACAGGGCATTTTGTAATTCTTAAAAGCATCGTATAATTAACTTTAACTAAATTCCATTCTTCACTCAACCTGTGAGACTTTCTGTTGTCTGCAAACTCCTCTGATTTGGAGACCTATTAAATTACTCTTGTATATGATTGTAAAACAAGTAGCAATGTACAAAAGTTTCATTTTGCTTCATATTCTTGGGGAGGCAGTTGATATTCGTGACCCAGTTCCACCCTATTTAAATAATAGCATAGGTTGGATCTCCATGGTCGGGTGCCCTTGGGACCTAAGCAGTCTCAAACGAGGGAGTTTGCTGGACCAGAGGAAGTTCCCCTGCTGGTCGTGGCTCCCCTCCTAACTGTTAGCCTGGCCCTGGCAGGACTCCTGACAACCAGCGCCTCTGCTACTGGCCTGGCTGTGCTCCTGACACTGGCTGGGACTCTGAGCTTCCTATCCAACTGAGCTCCTGGCGTAGCCTGGCTCCTGGCCGCTGGACTCTCAGCAGACTCCCACTCCCAGTCGCCGGAGCTCTCTAAGACAGCAGCATCCATGGCCAAGAGAGTCTCAGATTACAGATGTACAACCTGTAATGGTAATATCTTGCCACTGACTGTTGTTCAGGATGATTGTGGTGACTCAGACTAGGGATGTAGTGTAGTCGATTAACCGATAAGCAAAAGCCCATAGGTTAATGTAATAGACTACACACATTTCCCTCCCTGCCCCTTGCCAGTAAATTTTTTAGCAGGCTGGCAACAGCTCCACTAAATCTTGGCTTGTGATTGGTCCAGGACCTACTCCTGCTGCGGCTCTGCATTTAAAGTATATTAGGAGTCGGGCAGGCAAGCAGACTGGCTCAGTCCTGGCTCATGCCAGGTCCAGGAACTCAGATCCCCCCCCTAGACTGCAGCTACTGCTACTCCATGCTGCTGCTGCCTCTTGTCAGAGGCAGCAGCTCGGGGTATTAGGCAGCCAGTCCAGTCCGCAAGAGGAGCTGGTTTTTAAATTGGCTCCCCTCACAGACCAGCTCATGCCTGGTACCCCATGCTTTGTAGAGTGGCAGGGGGCTCCTTGGGAGTGAGGCCGGAGTGCACTGGCTGCTAGCCCTGCCCCAGGGACTACAGAATAGTCGACTAACCAATAAGAATTCATGAGGTTACTCAACTATTCAATTAACTGATATTTAACATCCCTAACTCAGACAGTTGAACTCTTAAAATACTGATCTCCATTTAAAAAAATAGGGTGAGAGGAAGAGGATTGTAGGAGGACAAAATCCATATGTCTTACTAAATAATTTTGCCAAATGACAGAGAAACTGAGGAATGTACATATTTCTAAAACTATTCTATGTTTCAGATTACATTAAATGCTAAGTCTTTTAATGAATTTGTACTAACTATTCTTGACAAAATATTTTTCTGGCAAAGAGATGTTAGCACATTTTTTGTGTTTGTGTTTTTTGTTAGCCATAACAAAAAGTGAAGCTGTACTATACATGGTTTTCAGATCATGTATGGTTGAATAGCATTCAACTTTCTCCTGTGCTTTAACACAGCTCTGCCATGCTATATTTGTTCACAGATGTGTGGAATATTTTTGTTTAATGAATGTACAAATATCAATTTACCCTAATATTTTTTTCTTTTTCCAGAGTGATAGCATGTCAAGGTATGTATTTGATTTAAACAAATCATCATTTATTTATAAAACAGAAACCTTTTGATTCATATTCTTTTTTTACTTACCAATTTACTTACCGATCCCTTTTTCAGAAGAAGTTTTTTCGGGAGGGAAGCAGCCTAGATGGGGGTTTTTGCGCAAAACCCCCTTTTCGAAAAAACCCTGTAAACCTCATTTTTTGAGGAATAAGGGTTTTTTTTGAAAAAGGGAGATTTGCAAAAAAAACCCCATCTAGGCTGCTTTTTCCCCGAAAAAACCTCTTCCGAAAGAGAGATTTGCATGAAAAACCCCACCTAGGCTGCTTTTTCCCCGAAAAAACCATCAGAAGAAGATATGCAAATTTGCACTGAATTTGCATATCTTCTTTCGGAAGCCAAGGGTAGTCTAGATGTGCTCTGAGAGAGTGCTACTTTGTCTGAAAATGAGAATTCTTGAAGATTTCTCACAATGAAAACCTGAACTGTTAGTCACTTTGGAAAATCTTGTCCTAAATTTTTAGACATAGGGTCTGGATGATGTGTTCGATAAGATGTTAAGTTTTTTTTCAAAATCTTGCCCTAAATCTTGGTGGAATAGGAGGCTCCCAGGGAAAAACTCTACTGAAAGTATTGAAGTGTGGTACGTAGCGCCTAAATAAACAATGCATTCATGTTTACTGCCAGTCAAACCTCCCTTGTGGACCTGAGTGGTCCCAGATCACAGAGCTTGCCGGACAAGGGGAGGTCAAGTCTCCCTGCCCAGCTGTAGGCTCTGCTCCCGGCTCGGGCTGCACTCCCCACCACCTCCAGCGCCCCTCGCCCATCTGCTTATGCCAGGCCTGGCCAGGGCTGCGTCCCCCGCAATGCCAGCCTTGGACAGGGCCAGCCCTGCTGCTTCCAGCCCTGGATGGGTTGCATTCTCCCCACCCCCATGGCTCAGGCTTAGTCTGCATGCCCAACTGACTGCAGCCCCGGCTGGGTTTGCGCTCCCCGCAACCCACCAGTTGCTCTCTGAACTTGGCCAAGCGGGGCTCTCTAGTCTTACCAAATCACAGAGTTATGGATTTGAGGCTCAGCTTGTAGTTTAAAATTTTGGTCTGATTAGTCCAGGCTCCTCTCATCTGTCTTGACTGTGTCAGCTAGAAATGGAGTTTGCCTGTCAGAGAAACAAATCCTGCATTCCTCACCCTAATAATGTGCATGTCTAGAAGTTATCCATGTACAAAACCTGTGAATGTATGTGAATATGATTAAGCATCTGACAAGCTAATGCCAGTGCTCTTGATCAGTGGGTCAATACTGAATATGGAGCCTTCCACAGTGTAGCACTCAGTGGAAAGTAAAATAGATTGCATTTAATAGACCTGAAATGCAGAGTCAGTGAACATCAGTAATAACCTGAAAATGCCACTAAATTAATTCATTTGGAGCATTTAATCTAAAGAAAGTAATACTTCATAGTTCATGATTTTTGTAATATTTACACTTGACTCTCTTAAAAGAAACCAGCAAAGGAAAAAATGAAAAATTTATTTAAAAATAAAAAAAAGCAATTTGCTTTAAAAAAAATAATTAAGAAATCAGGTCCTGTCTGTGCTAGAAACCTCTGTGTTAAATGAGAGTATAAACAGCAGAACCATGCAAGCTGAGCATTGGGAAGGGGAACAGATTTTTGGTCAGGTTCTTTTAAAGCTTTTTTTTTTTAATATCTGTTGCACTTCAATAACTAACATAGAATAAAAGAAGCCTCTGTAAAAGGAGCCTTGCCACTTCTGGTAATGTAGTTAAACTCACAAATAATATCTTTAAGAATTCCCTGACGTCTTCCAGTAAAACTGTGAAGACCAGACTCGAGTTAGCTGATCATCTTGAGGCTTTTTTTTTTTTTAAAAAAAAAGGAAAATAATTCAAGTTAGCTGATCATCTTGAGGCTTTTTTTTTTTTTAAAAAAAAAGGAAAATAATTCAGCCCTTCTTGCAAAAGATGAACAATCCTAGAAGAAAATAATTCAGGCTTTCTTGCAAAAGATGAACAATCCTAGAACACGTGAAGCCCTGTTTTAAAGAATCTTGACAAAGTCATCTTCAGAGTCGTGCAAAAATGTCTTGAAGAAACCTACTTTAATTGAAAAGGAATTTTGACCTAGAAGGCTAATGTTTACATTCCCTAAACCACAATTGGCAGTCAGAAAAACTATTCGTATAGAATAAATCAAATCTTCGTGTTGAGTGGCAGAAAGAAAACAGTTTTTAAGGTTTTCACCAAGTGAGAACAGAGAATAGGAAATAATGGTATGAATAAATACATTTTTTTAACTAAATTGCACCAGATTAGCAATGTTATCATGGAAATAATTAACTTTTTTCTTTTAAAGATATGATGCAGGATCCATCAGCTCATCATCAGGTGACCGTTATGATTCAGTGCTCGGGCGGTCTGGGTCTCTCAGTTACTTTGAAGACCGAAAACCATATTGCAGTAGGCTAGAAAAAGAAGATGCAACTGACTTTAAAAAGGTCAGTTAGAGCTAGTAGTTCTGATATTAAAATAAACTTTTTATTTGATCTTTTTCCCCCATAAATTCTGTCTTGAAGTAATCTGCCTCAGCCTAGGTAGTGCAACACAACCCCACAGAAGCAAAGAGGAAGAATCATATCCACCTCCCTGGTGGCATTGTAGCTTCTGCCCTGGTGCTCCCCTCTTCAAGAAAAAGTGAAGATCCAGAGGGGCCAAAAACAGCTTTAATGACCCCATATCACTACCTTGCTTCTTGTGGCTAAAGGTCTGATTTATTTGAGCCTTGCTTGACATCTTTTGGAGCCTTGTATTGGGTGCACTTGCTAGTACAATGTAAAATCTAGTTTTATAGGTTGAAAACTATAAAATACTTCTGAAGAAATGAGCAACAGTTCAACTTACTCTCATAGGCTATGTCTGCACTCGTGGCTTCTTGCACGAGTAATATGCAAATGAGGCTGTGTGGAATATTGCCGAGCGTCATTTGCATACCTAATGAGCCATCATTTTTTTTCAGAAGAGGCTCTTGCGCAAGGAGGAACGTCTACACTGCCCCTTCTTGCACAAGAAAAACCCTTTTGCGCAATGCCGTTCTTCCTGAAAAGTAATAGGTGTCATGGCATTGAGCAAGAGGGTTTTTCTTGCGCAAGAAGGGGCAGTGTAGGCACTTCTTCTTGTGCAAGAGCCTCGTCTGAAAAAAAATGGTGGCTCATTAGGTATGCAAATGAGGCTCGGCGATATTCCACGGTTTGCCTCATTTGCATATTACTCGCGCAAGAAGCTGTGGGTGTAGACATAGCCATAGTGAATTTTTTTTTTTTTTAAGAGGAAAACATTTCAAATAGTTTTCTGTATTATGGAAATACCAGGTAAAATTTATCATAAATGTCTTCTGGTCTGTAATACCAAAGACACAAGTTTCTCTTTTCAGGAAATTTAAGCGTTTTGTGGAAGCTAGTATTTTTTGTAATATAACTTCTGTATATTGCTTGCTTCAGAACACTGACATTCTGTTCTTTAGAACTTTGAGTATAAATTTGTTCTTTTCATATAGTTAAATCAAGTTTTAGAAAAATGTAGCACCATTATCATGAAATAATGCAACCAAAAGAATGCACATTTCTTAAACCTGTTCATATTTTCTCTTAGCTTTATGAACAGATTCTAGCTGAAAATGAAAAGCTGAAAGCACAGTTACATGATACCAACATGGAGCTGACCGATCTTAAACTACAGTTGGAAAAGGCCACTCAGGTTTGTAGTCACACACAAGACAAAAGTCTCTAGCTATTAAATGGGTTATAAACCAGAAACAGTATTGGAAATTGAACTGATATTTTTCTCAGATTTCAGCTTTATCTTCCCTTTTTCTAAAAGAATGGAGCAAAGTACTGCATCTGCCATTGTTTCTGGAGATGAGGGAAGGCCAGATGGGTCTGGTTAGTGGTAATTGCTAAAATACCAATGATTCTTGCTGGCATATAGCTATGTAATTTTTTTGTAGGGAGGAAGGCGTAAATACTGAGATAATGATTTTCAGTGTTGAATTACTTATATTTTGAACAAAAACTTGTTTACCATAAGAATGCATTGATTTATTAACCTAATGGCAGATTGTTATTGACTGGTATGGTCTCACTGATTTGATTAGATAACCAGTCTTGTAATTAAATAGTAAATAGTGCAACTCTAAATAGGTGCAGATAAATGCTCTCAAATAACAGTTCAGCATATTACGATACCACATTTGTAGATTAATAGTAGGTTTCTTGATTGTAAGTGGCATCAACTTAAAGCAGTGTCCATACTGGCATTATGTCTGTGGAAGAAATTTTCCTGGAAACACATCTTCCACCTTTCAGGTACAGTGATTATCTTGACAAGAGAGCACTCTCCCATAAGCATAGCATGTCTTCATCCGACATGCTACAGACCAATATAATGCAGTAGGGCAGGCTAGTCCTAAGTATCTGAAATAATTGAAGACCCTTCATGATAAGGATTTATTAACTTATTTTGCCAGGGTTCAGAAAGATTAAATTACTTGTCCGAGGTCTCACAGGACATCTGTGACTGATCCAGGACTGAACTTAGTTCACTTTTATATCATTTTAATGCCTTAACTACAAAGTTCTCTCAGAATATAGGTATTAAAGACTTTTCTGAGTATGTGGTTAATTAAATACAATGTAAAATTGTATGTTTTCACTTCAAGAATACAAAAACGTGTTTATTTCTGTAATTCTTTGACTTTTGACTTCTCTTTGAATGTTAAGACTGTGAAGAGCCAAAGTACTGATTTTTTTTTTTTTAAATTGTTTGGCTCCTATATTTTACGTAATTTTTTCACCATATGGGCCATCATTAATTATTAGCATTATATTTCAGAGACAAGAGAGATTTGCTGATAGGTCACTCTTGGAAATGGAAAAAAGGGTAAGTTTCTGCCAAAGATCTAGTGGATACTTTAGTTCATATTGTGGTTTGTTTTCCAACCTCAAGGTGGACATAATTTGGTGAATTGGTTCTTGTGATTTAAATATTGGGTTTCTCAGATGCAATGTGGTAATAAATGTAAGGTAGCTTTTATTCACAGAAATAATTCTTTAATAAATTGCTTTCAAATGGTCATTTGGTTATATTAGAGAGAGAAGGTTGGAGAGTGTTGTATGTGTCATAGCTCTCTTCTACCTTGCATTTAGCTGTCATGCTTGGAGTGTCTTTCCCAGACTTAAGAAGAGCTCTATGTGGCTCAGAAGTAAATTACTTGGGAAAGCCAATCCATTACTCGCATACAAAATGGGAAAAGACTGCCAAATACATATTAGTATTATGCCTAGTATTATGGAAAGGGATCTGTGGGCCATAGTGGAGCACAAGCTAAATATGAGTCAACAGCATAAGCTAAGTAGAAAAAAAGTGGATTTATTTTGTAAACTGCTTTCATCAGTGTGGTATATGAGCATCAGTTAAAATAACTAACGTTTGAAGTAAGTTAATTCAGGGAACAGGGACTGCTTGACTCATCACGAGCTGCGACCCAGTTATCTCAGCTCGCGCTGGTCTGGGACGCTGAGCCTCTGCATTTTAAATGGTGGCTCTTACTACATTTAAAATGCAGAACTGCAGCACGGTGGTTCCCAGAGCCAGCACGAACCAGGACTGCTCCTCGAGTTACTTCCACTGTGGCTCTGCAGAACAGTCCTTATCGACCAATCGTGTAGTCAGTACAAATTGTATTGAATACACAATTAGCCAGATAACGGCAATTTAACATCCTTAGCAGCTTGAGTATATATGTAAATGCTTTACATAAAATCAAAATTTGAGCATATACTAATTTAAAAGCAGAAAAAAAGTGAAATAGTGGGAAGAGCTGTAAGAGATGCAGAGCTGAGATGATATTAACCACAAGGAAAACCTAATAGAATTGGTTGGGTATGACCCATTTTCAAGGTGAAATGTGCCTTTCTTCACTAATAAATCAACTAACTCAAACTAGACAAACAATTATTCTAAAAGTTTATTCTGACTTTAATAACCCTGCCAACCCTAAAAAAAAGGTTTCTGTGCCATAAACTGACGATTCAGTGTCAACTAGGGATGTTAGATAGTGTGTAATAGAATAGTTGTGTAACCACATCAAATTCTAGCTGTTACACAACTATTCAATAGTCCCTGGAGGTGTGGACGGCAGCCAGTGCACTCCTGGGCTCCACCTTCCAGGGTGTCCCCACCACCACACACTGCTGCCTCTTTAGGGTGGCAGGCAGAAGCTAATCCAGAGGGCGAGCTGGTTTAAAAAACAACTCCCAGTGCAGACCGGCTTCTACCCTGTGCACCTGCCTCTGATACAGAGGCAGCACAACGAGGTGGCAACAAACCCTGTGTGTGGTAGAGTCCAAGCTCCCCATGGACAAAGGGCTGCTCCGTAGCAGCAGCCCCTGTCTACAGTAGAGGAGGTGTCCAGGCCCCCTGCGTACAGAGGCAGCAAGGGGCAGCAGGCAGGTCCACAGAGCTGGCACATACGGAGAGCCTCTTACATGTGAAATATCAGAGGCGTAGCCATGTTAGTCTGGATCTGCAAAAGTGACAAGGAGTCCTGTGGTACCTTATAGACTAACAGATGCATCTGACAAAGTGGGTCTTTTCCAACAAAAGCTTATGCTCCAATAAATCTGTTAGTCTATAATGTGCCACAGGACTCCTTGTTGCTCTTACGGGTGGGGAGCCAACTTTTATTGGCTCCTTCCTGCCCCCCCACCCTTCCCCACACACACACCACGCTGCTGCCTCTAAGAGGCAGCAGCATGGGAGTAGGGAAGACAGGTGGATCCTGCTCCCTGTTGCCTTTGTGTTGTTTGAAATTTGTTACAATGTTGTAGGAACTGGTCAGTCTTATGAAGATGAGAATCGGTGGCACATGTCTCATCCCAACAGTATTTAGGCAGAACAAGGTTAAGGGTTTGATTTATAGCCCTTATCCTTGAAATGTATGTTAGCTATGCTTTGGGGTATTCCAGCTAGTACAGTTAGAAAATAGAAGGCACAGAACTGCAGAATTTGGATCTTGATTGGAACTTCAAATATTACCCTAAAGCCTCACCAAAGTGTGGGACTGCTCAGATCTGAGATTTGAATTGGGGGCATCTCTGCCTTATTTATTAAACACTGAAAGACTTACCCTGCATTGCCCGGGTCTTTCATGGCAGGCGGCTGGTGATGTGGGGGGTGCAGGAGTCAGAGCAAGGCCTTGGGAAGGGGCTTTCTCCTTCCGTCCTCTCCCTTTCCAGGGTGCAGGGGGCCAGCAGAGATTTTCAAACACACACTCCCCTTGCTGGGAACTGTCTCTTGCACAAGGGGGTCCACTTACCTGTTGAGTAGCAGGCAAGATGGCAGGCCCCGTCCCCAGCTGGCCACTCCCTTGGTGATCCTGCTGCTTGCAGTGGTCTCTCTGCAGTATAGCACTCCTCTGTTCTTTCTGCCCCCTGTGTTCATTGTGAGTATAGCATCCCTTGGAACAGCCCTTCCCTTTCCATGTTCTGCTAAAATAGTCCCATTCCCTGCACTTCTCATTTTCCTGGCACAACCAAATCCTGACCTTTCTTTAAGTTAGGAGAAGAGGAAGCTGCATACCAAATTTGATGGTCCTAGCTCTTACTGTTTAGGAGGAGTTTGTGAACAGACTGACTGACACTCAGACAGACAGATCCATGTTTCTAAAATATAGATAGATAATTCATATGACCGGAGGATGCTTCTTGTTTGGACACAGTAACATATATTGGGGTAAATAAATTCTTTGAGGTCAAAGATTGAGGTATTTATGTGCCCAGAATTTGACTATTACTGATGTAATAGAGAATATCATCATGTTCAGTTTTATAGAGGTACATCTTTGCACACCTGCAATCTGATTAATGTCAGTTCCTCAGTAGAGCATGGCTATAGCCTATCACCTTAATCCCAGACATCTCATTATTTTGGCAAACTCCATGGCCCTTTCCACTAAAAGTAATTCCTTTTAAAATTTAACTTGTATTCAGTCTTTGAACCTAAATGAGGAGAGTATCAGAAGTTGTGGGGCCTGTGTGTGTTAAAGAGTAGCCAGGAATACAGGATTTGTGTAATGCACAGTTAGTTGAATTCGAAACTTCATAATTGACAATCAAGTTTATAGTGGGGGATTAGTAAAACTAATTCTTGTGCTCTGACTGAGGTTTCTTTTAGGTAGGATTAACAAATAAGAAAAAAATACAACTCCTCTCATTGAAATGTGTGAGCGCTGTTACGATCCAAACATCACTATATAAATAGATGCATAGTTCAGTTTGGGGAAGTGGAAAATGCATGCAATTTTGACCCTGATTGGTAGTTCTGGCTTTTTCTAAATAGCATGGCTTTATTTTATTACAACAGCTAGTTTCTTATTTTTAAGTCGGATTTTTTGTTTCCTAAGGAAATCTACTTTTTCAGTGGCACCTTGGGAAGACACTTCATAAATAAAACTATTAGATTAAATAAAATAGACCAGCAGAGTAATTAATAGACAATCAGTGGAATTTTATTTTTACAGAATGTGCAAATAGTGATTTGACTGTAATCATGTAATTTAAAATTAGTCCAACGGATCTGTAGAAAAATGACTAATAACCGTTGTCAGTATTTCTATTAACTAATAAAAAGTGCTAAAATTGCTGGGGAGTACAGTTATTTTTTTCTCCATGAGACAATAGTGAGACAGCTCTTAACTGTGGGCGGGAGGGGGTGTGTGTGTTAATGTTCCCACTACAATAAATTTGTTCTTAAAAACACTTCTTACCATAGAAACAACTTCCATTATCTGAACACTTTTTATTAATCAGAATTTTGCTATTTACATAACAAACAGTTTACTTAGGTCAGCTTAATTAAAAGCTCCTTTTGTGTAGCTTGGGCCAGAGTAGATAAAAAAGTAATTATATTTTTTTAAACAAAAATATATTTTATTTATTTATTCAAATTAAAAACTAGTTTAATTCCTGAACTTAATATAACTTAAAATTTAAATACAAAATGGTGTTTTGTAATACATGTTTGCCAGATTTTAAATAAAGACAAATCACTGAACTCTTTTAAGTCACTGGCAAAGCACTTGGAACAGAGTTTGTTCAAGTTCTAAACTAGCTTTCATAGCAATAGCCTCTTTGGTATTTGCAGAGAGAATATTTTCTTCATTTCAGTTTATTCAACTGGTTGGCTCCAAGTTGAAAAACCAATAGGGATCTATAAAGCAGGAAAGCTTTATTTCCTCTTCTAAGCTGTGAATAAAAATTGTGAGAGAACCTAACATCTACTAGTTCTACTATTATGAAGGACGTGATGACCATGGACACTCGATGGGGAGGCCAATGTTCTGAGGTGTGTGGTTGGCTGGTCTATCTGATCACCATATATATCATGATGCAGAAATTTTCCCCTAGGTCAGACTGGCTGTCTCTATGGAGTGGTTCGCCTTCCACTACATGCAGGTGTGGGTCATTTATCAGGATTATCGAGCTTTATCTCACTTAATCATTTCCACATAATTGTGAGACCCTGGACATGCGTGCACCTTGCTCCCTCCTGTTCTCTACCTGTGACACGTAATAGTCTAGTCTCTTCTGGACCGTAATATTTTGATTGTTGGATTAAGTATGTGGGTGTTTAGTGGCGATAGATATACAGGAGCTCAGACTATAAGATTTGGTAGTCCCTTTTAACTTTAAACTGTGATTATGACCAGAAATAATTGGTTTAATTCATTAATTAGACATAACACTTCTTTTGTTTAATAAATCAGTTCTAAATGCAAAATGTGTTTACAAATTTAGATAATTGCCCTATTCTAACATAAATATGTAAAAATAAAGTAATTTTAATTTACGCTTATTCACAATCTTAATCAGTAGGATATACTATATCTATACTTTTAATAAAGTCAAGCTCTAAATCTAGTGTAAAGGCTACATTTAGCTATAAATCAAAATTTTAATTACTAAAAATGAGAATCAAGCTTTCTTTAGAAAAAATTAAGTACAACAGTGAAACACAATTAAAATGGTTTAAATCAGCATTTCTTGCTTACCAATTTAAATGATTGAAATTGATTATTTAAATTGCTTTGATTTGAATCCGTCTGCCATGCTTGAACTGTAAAATCTTAATGAAATTTGAACTGTATTTAATTGGCCGCTAGTTTTTAAGAGTTCTGGTAATAAATATTATTCTAACAATTAATAAGTAGCTGATGTAACTCTTGGTAGGGTTTTCAGCTTCTTTGGGTTCCTGTGATATTTTTATAATTTGGGTATGTTTTGCTTTTATTATTCACTTGCTTACTGCAGTTAACTCACTAGTACTCATAAACGTTGCCCATTTATTATCTGTCAGTATCATCTTAGAAAAATGCAAATCTCATCTGAAAAGAATGAAGTAGAATAAACTCAGGATACTAACTACTGCAGTAAAAGATTGCTTTGCCAAACCTTTAAAGTTATTTGCTAAAATGGGGGAATATGTCTGAGGAATAACTTCACTATGATTAAACTAAATTCAAATGGTTTGTATCTGAAAGGTGACCGGCAAGAGTCAGTATCCACTGGGCGGTATGATCTAACCAAAGTTTTACACACATAAGTTAATGCTGCTTGCTGTTTTGCATAACACTGCTGTATGCAGATATAAATGTACACTTTGCAATAATCTGTCGCTTTTGCCTTCACTCTTTGAAAAAATTGGAATGTAAAATATTGAATAGTCAACTGCTTTTAAATAAGACTCACTGCATTGTCTTACACAAGGAAAGCAATCATGATATAAAATCTATTGCCTGCATTAGTAATGTGGAATATATGATGGGAATGAAATTTAAAAAAAAAAATAGTGTTTTGGGAGAATAGAGAGGATTTAAACGTTTTTTTAAAAAAAATAGTGTTTTGGGAGAATAGAGAGGATTTAAACATTTTAGCTATATTTGCTCGGCAATGAAAGCTTATGCTTTTGTGCTTTTTGTTTCTTTTCATATACTACTTTGTTTCTGATCATCTTCTGCATTTCTTGTATGTTAAATTATCATAGTCTGCTTGAGGGAATAATAAATCTGAACAAAGACATACTTATAAATGTATATCCTGTGCAAATTCAAGTACAGGAAGAGATGGGATGTATTTTGAAAAAAAATGAATATCTTAATCTCTCTTCCATCTATTTTTTTAATTTTAATGTGGAATAATTTTCTACACATCGCTGGCATCACAAGTCTCCTGTACACTCTGTGCTTGTAGTTGTTTGGTTTTTGAAACCTGACATGTATCACTATTTTCACCATTTTTATAAGAAGTATTAAAGATATAATTTGCATTGTTTGCCATTAACACCACTACTTTGATTTAGGAACGAAGAGCTCTAGAAAGAAGGATATCTGAAATGGAAGAGGAACTTAAAGTAAGTGCAACACACCATTTATGATTGATTTTGTAAAAATGTGTTGGTTGTTAACAGAATTTGTGGTGCGAAAGTTTCTAGCTGATGGTAATCTGATTGGAGAATAGGTAAATATATGATTTCCCTGAGAGTTTCCAACACAACAGAATCTTTTGTATAGTACTCTGCAATTCAGTTGCTGTTCAGTTTGCAAAGGATATAATAGTAAAGGGTGATTTTTTTGTTAGTTTTTATTTTCATTTTTAGAAGGTAGCTGAGATTTACAAGCTGAGGGGGGTAATCAGGGAGAAAAGTCAAAGGTTTCTAGGATAGATTTTTTTTTTATCTTAAACCAAGGGAAAAATGGAATCCTTTTTAGAGGTTGAGATGGTATTTTATGGTTTTCATCACTTACAGAAATGCAAAATAGAAGATAGTCCTATAAGATTTTTAAATGACTTTAACCTTGTAGTTTTAAGAGTTAATTTCTGAGATTCTTTTTTCTTATGTCATAATATGTTTGCATGCAGGGTCTTTCTCCCTCCAAAGTTTAGCCAGTTAAGTCCTGTGTGATATGATTTGAACTAAAAAAAAGGATAGTTGGAAGTGAGTTGACCCTATATACATTTTTCATTATATCCATGGACAAAACTGCAGAAGTGTGCCAACCAAACTGATGACAAAATTAAATCATTTTGAGGAAGCAGTTGGAAAGTGGTGAACTAGAAAACATCTTTGTATGCCAAAATTTTAGACACACCCAACCCAGCAGCGGTATGGACAGCTAGTACAGGTTGAACCTTGCTAGTCTGGCACCCTCAGGACCTGGTCAGTGCCAAACAAGAGATTTTGCCGAACCACGGGAGGTCAGTATTTTCTGGTAGCATTACCAACGCTTCCATAGCTTACTGGGTTCTTAGAAGACATTTAGGGGTAAATTAGAGCTAAATAACAGCACAGAGCACTGAGAACCAGGACTGGTGGCTGTAAATAAACTTTATGGGTTTGGGGGAAACTTGGCCACAACCATAAGTGGATATCCAGTTAATTAAAATCTTGCTGGACCATGGATGTTGCTGGAACAGAATGTGCCGGAGTAGAGAGATTCAACCTGTATTCACTATTCTGTTGCTAAAACATTTCTTTTAAAACTCAGTTTTGAGCTCTCCCTGCTGCTTTGCAACAGCACTTATTCCAGACACAGTTGTTTTAAATGCAAACATGGAGTTCTTGTTAATAAAATGGAAGATGACAACCAAAGAAGTATAGAAAAATCTATCATTAGATTTAGAGCCAAGTAAATGTGCTTTAATGGAGAAAAAATTAATATTTGAGACAGAAAGCAAACTACAGCATGGGGAGAAAATTACCATTCTTCTAGTGATGGATTGCAGGATAGAGAATATCAGGTTGTGTTATACTTGTAGGTTTTCCTTAAGGACGGCTAGAATGATAAGAGAAATAGAGAGTTTGCAAATTTATTTGCAGCCATACATTACTGTTTTTAATTATAAGATTAACTGTCATCCTATTTGCTGTAGTATCACGTAAAAGTATATGTTAAACATATGATTGTTTGCAGAATAGGAAATGTAGCCCATTTAATTAGAATAAGTAAAGAATTCCAGGAATAACTCTCTTTGTTTTATTCTGGAAAGCTGTGACTAATCGCTGGCTGTTCTTAGATTACATTTCAAGAATGTGCCACTTACTTGATGGTTTCCTTTCACAGCTAGTTATCTGCTTTTAACATGACTGTCTATTTTGATTTAAGTTTTCTTTCAATTCTCCTTGACTGTTTTTTTTTAAACATACCATACTTGCTGTTCTCCTGTTTTCACTTCTGTTTCTTGATTCCTGCAGATTCAATCTTTGAGACATTTAAATGAGCGACTGCTGGCTGAGAATAGGGCCTTGACCAGAGTGGTTACAAAGCTCTCAGGGTCCTGTAGGCAACTACATTCTGTGGATTTGTAATTTCTTTTCTTCATTTCTTCTCCTTTGAGTAGCCTGGCAGGTGTTGAATTTTAGCTAGTGCTTTGGCAATACTTTACTATTAATGCTTGTGTGTCTGAAGATTTATTTGTTGCTTGATTATAGAAGCGTGGCTGATGCATGATGTCCAGTGTCCCAGCTACTGTTCCTTATCATATACACAATGGTAGCGGTTTGTATCATCCTTACTAGCATCACCTTTGCAGGCCCCTGGGCAAGGTGAAAAGGGGTCACTCTGCGTTCCCTTTTTGAATCGCTGGGGGTTCAGGGCAACTGCCTCCTTTTCCCCCAAACCCTCCTCCCCTCCCTGTTGGCTGGTCTGTATCTCATCATTTTGCATTCAAAGACAAGTCAGCGAACAGTTGAAGAAATAGATACTTCTTGGTTTGTACAAGATTGTAGTTATTTGTGTTATATAAAGATGCATTGCCCCAAAGCAAGAAATAGATACTTCTTGGTTTTGTATTGTGTTATATAAAGATGCATTGCCCCAAAGGGCATAGCTGTTCCCACAGGACTTGAACTAGTATTAAATTGCCTGTATCTTGACTTTCGCATGAGATGCCGAGTTTAGAAATGTACTGGTCTCAAGATTTCCAACATCATATTAAAGTGAACAGAGATATTCCTCTCTCCGCTGTAGTTAGCTGTTGTAAGACAGACCCAAATAAAAATTGTAATAGTGAAAACCTAAGTAATGATTTCGGTATTGTGGACTTTTGATTGTTTACATCAGCTATTCTAGTTTTTACATTCCAGTATGCAGGGATTTGGTTAGCAAAAAAGTTATCTTTTCTTCAAGAACGTATTTGAATTTCAACCCTTATTATGTATTTGTTCAAATACTTTGTTTAGGTCGGATCTTGCTCACTTGTCCTAGTATTCTTTTCTTTTTTATCAAAGTAGATTCAGAATAGGCTTGAAAAAATCTAACTTTACACCAAAGGAAAACAGTGTCAATTTGAAGATTTACAGATGTTATACCTGTGTGAAATTCAGTTACAGGGGACAGCTGTGAAAAATCAGTTTGGTGACTACCTTTGAGAACACAAAATTTGACCCATTCCCTTGCCCCTTCTCCATGTGCTAACCCTTTCAGTCTATTTGTCCTTGACCGGGGAGGGGGGGCTGGGGGGGGGAAAGCTATGCATGGCTGAAGCTCTGAGCCCTGTGGATCTGGGCCAGATGAAAATGCATTAAAAATAGAAAATTTGTATGGCTAAAGGCTCTCACACCACCCTCGTTTTTACGCATACATTTTCTGTTCTAGAGGGGGGAGAAGGGATAAATGTGTTTTCTGGATCTGCCTACATGCCTCAGTTTTCAGAATTTTCCGGTGGGGGAGGGCGGGGGAGAGGTTGGGATAGGAGGCTGCATATGCTCATGAGTACAGTTTGTTGCAACCTTCGTTTATGCAATCAGTTAATCATTTGTGGGTTTGGTTTTGTAAAAATCTCGGTTTGTCTACAAAAAACATACTTAGTGACTATTGAATGGCATTTTGCATCTGCTAGCCTATGCAAAATTACCCCATATAAAAGCAAAAGATATAAATAGTGCATGCTATGGCCTTGCTCAGTGGTTCCCAACCTGTGGTCTGCAGACCCCTGCTGGCCCATGATGGTATGGGGTCCATGGAAGGTTTAAAAATAAGGATCGGGCCCACCAGGGGAGGTCCAATCCTTACTTTTCTCTTTCTCTTCCTCTTCTTTTTCTCTTTCTCCCTTCCTTCTTTCCCTTCTTTTTTTCTCTTTCTCTCTTCTCCTCCCCCAGAGAGGGGGGTCCATGAAATTATAATTGAAAAGGGGTCCATATGCTCGAAAAGCTTAGGAACCACTCTTGCTTATTTAAGGCACCACAGAAAGATGCTCTCAGACTTCAGGGAGAAGTAAATTGGAATTGACGTGTTACATGTATAATGAAGGGTTAACACTAGAGAATGTGGGCATTTACACCACTTGTTCACTCACCTGAAATGGTAGTGAAGATTTTGGAGCAGATCCTCAGCTGGAGTAACTTGTTAGAGCTTTATTATTTATGCCAACTGAGGATCTGTCCCTTTGTGTTGAAAGTGGTATGTGGACATGTTGCAGAACTTCTAAATCCAGTAAGATTGCACTAGTCCCAAGTAAATGTTGTGAGTTCTGCTTTGGCTGATTCACTTTGAACCATTTTAGCATTAGTGGTTTGGGAGGAGCACAGAGCTATAGCTACTCTTTCGGTTTGTCTTCACCGATCAATCCCATACTGCACTCATAGATTTGGGTAATAGCACTGGTGCTGTCACCACCCCCATTCAGTATGTGGCTGATATATTCTCTACCCATTACTCCTTCCTTCCTTGAGTAGCAATGCACAAATAACTTCATCAGAATAAAAGATATATAAAGGATTTTTGGCCAACTATGTAACTGCATAATAAATTTAAATAAGCCCTGTCTTTGAACAGTGTTTTTCTGTCTGGATGGAAATTCTCTAGGAGGGAGAAAAGCTAAACGTCATATGCAGTCACATACAGTCACATACATTAAGCCTGGTAATAACTGTAGCTCCCTTATTAGGGAGTGAGTTGGTATAGAATTGTGCAGCTAGAAGCACATTTCCTGCACATTGGAGATTTGTACAGAAAACAAAAACGGTGTAACATTCATGAAAAATACACCAATTTCCCACCACCATCCCATAAACGCAACAGTAAATCTGGGCGCTCTATGGGCATGTCTGCACTAGGAAATTATTTTGAAATAGCATATCCACTCTACAGGGAAGCCTCGAAATTAGTTCGAGGCAGGCTCCCTTAATGTGGATGCTCTACCTTGACTTAGAGCTCCAGGAAGCACTGGGGAGTAATTATTTCAAAATAGCAGCAGTGGAGCATCCACATTACCGCTATTTTGAAATAACTAGTTAGAAATAAGCATTATTCCTCATGGAAAGCAGGAGTTATTTCAAAATAACCAGCCTGTTATTTCAAAATAATGGGGTTGGTATTGTGGACGCTCTGCTTCTTATTTAGAAATAAGAGGAGTTTTTTCTAAATAACTCCCTAGTGTAGACCAGGGTTTTGGTACTTATCTCCTGAAGGTGCACTAGTGCCATCTCATCAGCCTTCTATACCAAACTCACCCACATCTGTGTAGAGGACTAGTTGTTCTGCCCCGGGCTTCCTGGAATCAGCCGCTGATCTGTTTCAGCAGCGGCTGGCTTGGGGACCCCTGGGGCAGAGCAGCTGGGGTGCTGCCGGGTTAGTCCCGCAGCGCCGAGGGGCGGTGCTACGGGACCAACCCGGCAGCACCCCAGCTGCTTTGCCCCAGGCGTTGGGATTCAGCCGCTGCTGAAACTGACCAGCTGAAACTAACTACAAAGCTAACTACAAAAGCAGCTTCTCCTATCTCGGTATTCACACCTCCAGATCAGCTGCTAGAAGTGAGCCTCATCCTCTCTGATTGAATTAACCTCGTTATCTCTAGCCTGATTCTGGCCTGCATATTTATACCTGCCTCTGGATATTTTTACTACATGTATCTGACCAAGTGGGTCTTTGTCCACAAAAGCTTATGTTCCAATACATCTGTTAGTCTATAAGGTGCTACAGGACTCCTTGTCACTTCCACAATGAGGCTACATCTAGACTACAGGCTTTTGTTGACAGAAGTTTTGTCAACAAATACTGTCGACAAAGCTTCTGTCGACAAAGAGCGTCTAGAATACATCCAGTTCTGTCGACAAAGCAAGATGCTTTGTCGACATAACAGTGTGGACGCAAAGGACAGGGGAG